ATTGTAGAGTTTTTATGCGTTGAATTTTATGTTGGTGTAAATATTAGTTGTTTATTTTAATAATTTTATAAAAGTGTATGTTTATCAGGATTTTGATTTTTTTTTTATTATTAAAAAAAATATATATTCAGTATATATTATATGTACGTACATTAAGAAGTATTATGCCATATTATGTGGATACAATTGTGAGAATAAAGCTTGTTCGTCAGACAATAAAAGAAGAAAGTAATTTGTTCGTTGTGTAGGCTGTTGGTGTATTTCTAGTAGGTCATGAGGATAATGAAATCGAGATGGTGTTATTTGTGCCAATTCATTTTAATGATAGAGATATCAAACTTAGACTATTTTTGAGAAAGATCATTTTTTTTTTGTGGGTGGCAAGATTATATCTGGATTTTATGCAGGAAATAAAAGGCTAAAGGTATTAGTTATGATTAATTAAATTTATTTAAGATATTATATTATTTTATATTTATTTATCTTTTAGTTTAGATGACAGTTTCAATTTTGACTGAGGTTGAAATTTTGAACAGAGTTGTTTAGACAAATAAATGTCCGTTAAAAATTTCTTTAATCAGAATTCCTCAAGAATTACTCAAAGTACTGGAGAATGATGAGAATGCTATTTTTAATGTGTTGATAAGTGATTATACTATTCAGGGCCATAATTTTATAGTTAAGATTGTGTTTTCACATTCCAATTCACATTTTGCACACTTGAAGAGTACGATATATCTGCATGATTCACTTTTTTTTGTTGTTGGTTAGATGGAAGTCATTGATAACGATTTTTATATTTATGCAAAAGATATTAATTTCGTTGATATTAGTTGTTTCAAGCGAAAAATTTTTGATGATAGTAGTTTTTGCGGTTCTACAGAATCTGTTAATTCAATTCGTGCAAAGCTTCTTTTTACTCACCGAAATGTTAATGAAAATTCTAAAGTTATCTCTAATATTGAGGAATCATCTTCAGCGGTTCTTATAGATTGTTTGGCATCGTAAGGTAGTATTCTTTCAAAGCGTGTTAGAGTTGAAGATGATGATGAGTCTGTTGAATCTACGAATGTTTTTGGGTGTACAGAGAATAATTATACGAAGTCTGCTAGAATTGGTAGTTCTTGTGATAGCTTTCAGGAAGATAAGATTGATAATAAGATAAAAAGTGAGAATTATCAAGAAAATGCTACATATAGTTATTAGAATAGAAAAGATTATGTAGGGCATTCTTTGTATAGTGCTTTAAGATCGTATAAGTCTAGTATAAATTCTATTGACAATGAGGAGGAGGAATAAATGTATTGATTTGATTTATTTATTTGTATGATTAATATATATGGGTAATTATTTTTGAATTTTATATATAATATAATAACATTTTGGTCTAGATTTAAAAATAAATATCTATATATATTTATTTACATTATATCGTAAATAAAATTATGCTTATTTTTATGAATTTTGT